AGTTAAGGTTGAGTAGAAAGAACAGCAAGGCTCAGCCAGGCGTGGTGGCGCACACCTGTAATCCCAGCACTTTAGGAGGCTGAGGCAGGCAGATCATGAGGTCAGGAGTTTGAGACCAGACTGACCAACATGGTGAAGCCCTGTATCTACTAAAAATACAAAAATTAGCCCAGCATGGTGGCGTACACCTGTAATCCCAACTACTCAGGAGGCCGAGGCGGGATAATCACTTGAACATGGGAGGCAGAGGTTGCAGTGAGCCAAGATCGTGCCACAGAACTTCAGCCTGGGCAACTCAGTCTCAAAAAAAAAAGAAAAAAGAAAAAGAAAGCAAGGCTCAGTGCTGAATGGATGTGAAAAACTCAAGTTATGATTCAGTCAAAGTTTAGATCTAGTATTTTAAAGAAAAGTAGCATGGCAAACAACAGTAAAGAGTGAGCAGTGACTGGACTCAAGACTCAGATATGTAGGACTTTATTATCCCACATGACTATCAGGCAGTATGGTCCCAAGGAACGGACAGTCGTTTAAGGACTAGGCTGGCACCACATCCCAGATTTTCTAACATTTAGCAAAGTGCTCTCTTCCCTGCTTGATGCAGCTGCCCTCTTATGCTGCATCTTGAAGCAGAGAACACGGCAACCAACTCCCTTCAGACTCTAAAATAACAGTTCTCAAAATGTCTGGGAACCCTTTGGGGGATTTGCGAGGTCAGAACTCTTCATAAAAATATTGACACTCTCTCATGAGTATACAGTGGAATTTCCCAGAGGATACACGTAGTATGATATTGGAATAAATTCAGAAGCAGATATGAGAATCCAACTGTTGTCTACTAAGCCAAACATTAAAGAGATTTGCAAAAATGTAAAACAATGGCATTCTTTTAGTTTTTTAAAATTTGGGGCAATGGTCATTTTTCACTAAAATGTTATTTATGTTAACATAGGTAGGCTTATTGGCTTATTATTTTTAAGTGAATTATTTTTAACTTTATTTTTTTTTTTTGAGACAGAGTCTCGCTCTGTAGACAGGCTGGAGTGCAGTGGCGCCATCTCGGCTCACTGCAACCTCTGCCTCCCAGGTCCCGCTTCAAGTAATTCTCCTGCCTCAGCCTTCAGAGTAGCTGGGATTACAGGTGCGTGCCACCAGGCCCAGCTAATTTTTGTATTTTTAGTAGAGACGGGGTTTCACCATGTTGGCCAGGCTGGTCTCGAACTCCTGACCTTGTGATCCACCTGCCTCAGCTTCCCAAAGTGCTGGGATTACAACCGTGAGCCACCGCGCCCAGCTTTAATTTCTAATAGAATAAATATTGATAGATATGACTCACTTAAAAGCTATTTGGTATCCTCAGTGACTTTTTTAGAGTGTAATGGAGTCCTGAGACCAAAAAGTTTGAGAACTGCTTGATCTGAAAAAACAAGCCTGAAGTCCACCTTTTGCTCCCTGAGGGAAGGCAAGTTGCCCAACCTTTCCAAGACTTTTTCTGGCTCCATAGCATGGAATGATGACTTAAACTACCTGCTAGGGTTATTGCGAAGACTAAATGGGGAGAGTCTGTGTAAAACTCTTAATTCAGTGCATGGTGTATGACTATTCAGTAAATATTAACCATCTGTTATTATTATTGCTTCTGCTATTACTATTACTACTACTATGAGGGCTATTACTCCCTCCTGGTGATGTCTTTACTCAGATACATAAAGAACTTATTCTTTGACCTTGATAATGCTTTCAGGCCATTGCACTTGTTCCCTTTGCCTGGAATATCTTTTCTTCCTCGTCATTTCTTCTTGTATCAACTTTGAGCTTCTTTGACTTGGAAGCCTTCATTGACCTCTCAAAACTATGCTAGGTACCCTGCTGGAAGCCCCAATCTTTGCCCCTTTAAGAGCATACCACAGTGTAATTGCTTATGTCTTTGCTGGCTCTTCCATCGCACTCTGAAAACTCTGTGAGAGAAGGGACCATGCTTGTTCACTGCTATAATCATAAAGCTCAGCACAGTGCCTGGCAGTCGGTAAATGCTTGTTGAATACATCTTGTAAAAGTCTTCAATGTATCTTCTTGCCACACTGCTCTTTTCATGTCCCAGGGTGCCTAAATAAACTCGATATCCTGAATATTCTTGTAAATCTCTTTGATCCTCAAGTTAGATGTAAAAACTAAACTCAAACAATGATCTAGGCTTCATTTATAAGTTTAAGGTAATGGTTAAATGACTTACAGGATGTTTGATTACACACCTTATTTCCCTGGGATTCAGAGTTGTACAGGAGGTAAAGTCTTGGCCTTTGCATAAAAGTTGGGTAATTCTTAGCTATGATCTGGGCATAGACTATAAACAATTTAAGATGGAGAACTAATACGGCTAGAGAAAATGCCCTGGGTGCCAGCTTGCACCATAGCTCTTACCACTATAAGAGGGGAGGATAAAGACTGCTTTCTTCCTTTTAGTTGCCATTCCTTCTGCCATTCATAGAATTTATGTCTGCACTTTTCTCATCCACTGATAGCTGGTGGCAGTTTCAGAATATCTATTGGAAGAGGGGCTTAGAGGGAACAGTCGCATTGAATAGGGAGGTAGGAAAGTTTTTCCCTAAGCTATATTTGTATTTTTCAACTTAGATTGCATGTTTCTTTTGGAGAATGTTCTTGGATATAAGACGGTGCTAAGGACTTCCAAGCCACCCCACTGCTAAGAGTACATCTATTTTTAGTGTGGAAACATTTGAAGTAAACGAATAGACAGGTTTGATAAGAGAGGATTGACTAGATCTCTTTTATTATTGCTTTTCACACAGGTAAACCTCAACTCTGCCTGGTGAGCATTAACCAATACAAAAAAGATTTGAAAGTTCAAAAAAGCAGTCAGTGTTGAGAACACATACTAGACTATATTTATTAGGTCTGGGGCTCTAAAAGATCAGTATAATCAATAGGAAATAGGCAGCTTGACAAAAGAAAAACCAAACTTGAGGAAATCAGTTTATCATGCAATCATTATATATTTATTTCAGCTATGGACAATACATATGCCGATACCACAGAATAGAAGATGTGACCTCAAAGGGCTTGCAACCTATTTGGGAAGACAAGTAAATGTCTACTAGATTATCATTTAAGCATACTTCTGAGACTAATCTTTAGTGTTCCGTGTTCCTGCTGGTTATTCTCTTGGCCTAATTATGTGAGGAAAACAGAATGAAGGAAAAGGGATGGCAAGCAAGGGCGATGTGGCTAAAAATATTAATGCTCTTAAGCCATGTGCTCCAAATTTAAAGCAATACATTCATGGTTTTAAAGCTGGGACCTGTAACTAACTTCTAATTAGTCCCTCTTATTTTGTAGAGGAGGAAATTGTGGCCTATCCTGCAAAGCACTCTAGCTGATAACCGGTGGCTCTAAAATCAGAAGTCAGGTTCTCTGACTCTCAGTCTAGTGTCCTTTCCATCACAAACAAGTGCTTCTGAAGGTAAGGTAAAATGACTGGAGTCTTCCTACACCTGGGGTCTATGCTAAAGAGCCTTAGTTTTTCCTTGAATGGATAGGATGGAATTATTTGAATTATTTTATTAGACCTGCATTACAAATTTTTTTAGCATGGCAATTTTCATCAATTCTAATTTCTCAGTTATCAAAATACAATTTATTAATGCTAAAATCTCCAGTCCTTATCAAAGGGCAAATTAATTTGAATATCAGACTAATAAATTGCTTTTTAACCTCTATTCACCCATCTCTCCGCTTTCGTATCTTTAACCTATTGAATGACTTACAAATTTTCTATTTCACTCTTGACCTCTTTTCTGAATTTCAGTTTCATATTTCAGTTGCTGCATCTCTACCTGTTTTTACTTCTATGACCTCAAACTCAACATGAAGCCAGCTTCCCTTTCACGTATTCCTATTTCTGTCAATGACACCATCATTCTTCCAGTCATCCAGGTCTGAAATCTTGGCATCATCTCTCCTTTTCTTCTCTTCTAAATCTTGCCGCTTCTCTTCTAAATCTTGTGGGTTACCAATTTCTGTGCCCTCTTGCTGAAATATTTAATATTTCTCTCAATTCCATTTCTTCTTCTTCTTTGTTTTTTTTTTTTTTAAAGACAGAGTCTCACTCTCATCCAGGCTGGAGTGCAGTGATGCGATTGCGTTTCACTTCAGACTCGACTTCCCCAGCTCAAGCGATTCTCCCAACTCAGCCTCCCAAGTAGCTGGGACTATAGATGCGTGGCACCACACCGGGCTAAGTTTTTGATTTTTTTAGAGATGAGGTCTCACTATGTTACCCAGTCAGGTCTCAAGTGATCCCCTCAGCTTGATCTCCCAAAGTGCTGGGATTACAAGCACCACACCCAGCCCATTTCTTTTTTTAAATTCCATTTCCTACACCCTAACTCAGGTCCTCATGATCCCACAACCGGGTGGTGACAATATCTACCACTCATCCTGGTCCCATCCTAGCAACCCAACCTACAACTACTGTGGACTACTCTCTCAAAATTACAGTTTAAACAAAAACACAAACACCCATTTCACCCCTTTGATTCTAATTTTTCACTGCTCCCCGGTGCCCATGGATAATAAAATTCAAATTCAAACTCCTGGATAATGTTGCCCATGCCTTGCCACCTCCTCGCACTTTTCCTTCACAAAACCATCCTCCCCAATCAGAAATTTCTTTTCTTCTCAACGCCCACCTCTACCTTTGGCTTAGGCCTGTAATGGACTCTGGTTCCTCATCTGAACTCTGCTCTGTTAAGGTTACCAACTACAGCAGCGGACCACGGCCCCTCCTCAAAATTCCAGAGGTACCTACTGATCTTTCTAGGGAGGCAGCCTTCAGACCTGTGTTCCCAGAAATCTCTACGTTTGTCCCTTTCCCAACTAGAGAATTAACTCTTGCAGGGCACAAAACAGCCTCTATTTCTTTGCGTCCCCCGCGCCTGTTTGTTGAAGACTGAGTTGAAGGAGTAGCAGGTGGTGTTAACTCGTCAAAAAGATGGTGGCCAGGGGGAACACCCCCACAGCTCTCCCCCGACAGCAGGGCAGGTGTGCCTGGGGGTCTCGGCGGGTGCCGGGGCGCGGGGCGGATGGTGCCCCCCGGGTGCAGGCCAGGGAGGCCCAAGCGCCTTCCCCACGCCCCGCTCGGCCGCGCGTGTGAGGGGAGGGCTGCCCGGCCGTTCCGCGCCGGGAGGTAGGTGGTGCTGTTGCCGTGACTGTGTCTTCCTCATTGGCGCCGGGCAGAGAGGCGGAATGTTCAACTCCTGACTCCGGCGGAAGCGTGGGAGCCGCGCGGGCCGCTGTCGTCCCAACCCCCGCCGCCCTCGTCGCGCGCGGGGCCTCCGCGCCCCCGGCTGCTGCTCGCGCCCGGCCTGGGAGCCAGGTAGGGTCCAGGCTGGAGCCCGCGGAGGGCGGGGAGGGAGGGGGCGAGGCCCGCCGCGCTCGCGAGTCGTCCTCGCGTCTCGGGACCGAGGTTCCGCCGGGGCCCGAGAGTCCAGGCGGCCTCGGGATGCTACTTGGGGCTCCTCTCCCTGACCCAGGACCCGCGCGGCGGCGGCGGCGGCCGGAGCGAGCATTCGCCGCGCCGGAGGAGTCCTCGCGGGACCTCGGCCGCGGCGCCGCCAAGTGCGGTTCGGGAAAGTTCGGGCCAGTCCCACGGAGAAGTTGGTGCCTGGAGGCGCAGGCCGGAGCGGCTCGGGATTCCGCGGCCCTGGGCGTGCGGCACGGGCAGGGGCTCTGCAAACAGCAGAGCCGGCCAAGCAGCGGGTGGTTGGGGCACTGTCGGGAGGGGAACCGCGAGGCCCCCAAATCAGGGCAGGATGCAGGCCACTTCCCAGCACTCGCTGTGCGTGCGAGGGACGACGAACTTCTGCTTTTCTAAGAACTCGGCCGCTAGCGGTGTTGCTTCCCATCCATTTTCTTTCATTCTGTTTTCCTCACGTAATTAGGCCATGCGAATAACCAGCAGGAACAATGAACACTAAAGATTAGTTTTACAAACATGCGTAAATGTATCCAGAGCCACCCAGAGCCGCCGCTCCCCGCCCTTCCTTCCCCGGGCTTGGGCAGCGTGGAGCGCCCGCCCTCTCGGGCTTCCCCCTTTCCTCCCACCGGAGCCCGGGTTGTCCCCTTTGGCGACCCTCAGGCAGCCGTCTTTTTGTGGGCTCCCAGACCTGCACCAGGCCCAGAAGTACTTACCCAGGCCGCCGCCTCGCCTGGCCTCTCTTGCCCATGACAGCTTTCAGAAAACTTTAATTCAGGACTGGCTAGATGACATCCGATTGCCTAAAAAAAATTTTTAAAAAGGTTATCTCTGTTAGATCGCCGAAAATGTTATGTTTCTGATGCGCTTTGAGATCGCGCATAAGCACTGTTTATGGGGAACTTAATTACTATTTTTGTTAGTTTCTGTAATAATGAAAGCAACACAATTTAGGGGCCCATTCCAAGTATAGTACAGTAAGCAGCTCTCATTAATAATGGTGTGTGAGAATCGTCTTACAGAGTGAATTTGAGGATATTTGAATTAAGATTGTTGAAAACAGTACCTACTTTAACCCCAAAGCTGTTTTAGGAGAGACTTCTTGTTTCCCTGACCTTCCTTGAAATTAACAGCTAGGATTTAGTGGATCCAAACCTCCAAACACGTTTAAAGACAAAAATAAACAAGTGATTCAAGGCTAGTTAATGTCCTCCTTGTAGTAGGCCTATCTCCACAGTGAAATTTCACTTGTTTTTCAATTTTCAAAAAAAAGAAAAAAAAAAAAGTGATGGCTGCATTTTAATTATGTTTATGGTCATTTGTAGAGTCTTTGTTTTAAATTCCTGCTACTATAGTGAGAGATTTAGGAGACTGTAAATGAATACGAATTTAGTTTGGGAATAGAGAATTAAGATAAAAATAGTCTTTTGGACCCCTGCAATGTTTATTTTAATCTTTCACAATTTAATTCCTATAACTTTTTGAGATTATTTGGGGAGTTTTTTAACTGCAAAATATTGTTGTTTAAATAAAAAAATTTAGTGATAATAATTCCAGAGTAAATGACCATGATGCAATTGCAAGGACTTTCTTGTCTAAAAAAGCAAATAAATGATTGATCTGTTTTTCTTATTCTTTTAGGGAATATATAAGGACACAGTAAAGAGAGGGAAAGAGAGAAAAATATCCAAATATTAAACACGCGGACTTGGATCTAAAAATGGATGGTCAAAGATCTTGGGAACTAAGGGGCCTTCTTGCCAAATAAGGAAACTTGGCAAGTTGCACTGTGTATTTTAACTTAGCACAAGAGTGAGTGTTATTGGCAATATATTGGCTCAGAGCCTATCAGGAATGAGCAGTGAAACTGACTTCGATAGGGCTACAAAATTATAAATAGGAGGTATGAGGGGTGTGGAGTGAATAATCCAGTCATCAGAGAAAACACTGAAGAAATTACAATGATGTTTCATGAAAAGAAGTCAGATGTAAGGTGAAGCTATTGGTGTGGAGTGAAAGAGCAAAATGGACAGTTTATTTTAGAAATTGGTAGATTCAGAAGAGATGAATCAATGTTTTTTGTTTGTTTTTTGTTTTGTTTTTTTTTCTTAAACTGGAAAAAGGTGTTGTAGGGATATAGTGCTTCTTGGAATAAGATAGCCCTATGTCTGTATCCTGAGACGTTGGAAATAAAAATGAATTTAGATCACTTGTTTTCCATTTTATTCTACCCAGGACAGATTGACAGGATGAGTGTCTTGTCTATCTAAATGTAATATGAACAGTTAAGGCCCCTTTTGGTCTTACTGCAAGGAAGATTTAGGCTAGTCTTTTGACAGCTATTAACTTTGCCTAGTAGACACAAATAAGCAGAGTTCCAGCTGTGACCGGAAAATTGTACCTGGTAAGGTAAGAGGACTATGAATGCTAGAGCTTAGCTTGATTTGATGGATACATGGGTGCTCTTATGTCAGACCCTCCTACGGAAAGCTGAAGCATCGATTACACCCTAATAGCTGTTAAGTAATCCCAGCACAGTAGAATCTGTGAGAACAAAGCAGCCACACATTTGACACTTTAACCCCAGTGTCTTCAATTGTAATAGGAAATTAAAGCCTCAAATTGAACTTTAGGTGGATGGTAAGCAATCCAGTAATTAATAAGAAAAGAGTTAGTTTAAATAGGGAAAACAAAAGGCAAATTAGGAGGAGGAGGCAGAATGTTATTAACAAAAAGTCACGATATGGTAGAAAACAATGATAGGACTTTGGAGTCAGGCCTGAATTTGACACAAGTTGTGTCACCTGTAAGGTAGTTGGCTTGAGCTACTTTCATACCCTTGATCCTCAGTTTTCTCACTCATATAAGTTAGAGACAGTAGTACCTGCTTCTAAGGATAAGTACAGTCATGTGTCCATTAATGATGGGTATACGTTCTGAGAGAACTGCATTGTTGGGTGATGTAGTTGTGTAAACACTGCAGAGTGCACTTACGCAAACCTAGATGCTATAGCCTACTACACACGTAGGCTGTGTGAGATAGCCTGTTGCTGCTAGGCTACAGACCTATGCAGCATGCTACTGTACTGAATAGGCAATTGTAACACAATAATAAGTATTTCTATCGAAAAATAGAAAAGGCACAGTAAAAATACAGTATAAAATATACGGTATCAAAGATAAAAAGTGGTACACCTGTATAGGGCACTTACCATGAATGGAGCTTGCAGGACTGGAAGTTGTTCTGGGCAAGTCAGTGAGTGAGTGGTGAGGGAATGTGAAGGCCCAGGACATCACTGTACACTACTGTAGACTTTATAAACACTATACACTTAGGCTGTACTAGATTTATTTAAACATTTTTCCTCAATAATAAATTAACCTTAGCTTGCTGTAACTTTTTTGCTTTATAAACTTTAAACTTTTTTTTTTTAACTTTTTGAATCTTTTGAAATAACACTTAGCTTAAAACACAAACACATTGTACAGCTATACAAAAATTCTTTATATCCTTAGTCTGTCAGATTTTTTTTCTATTTTTAAATTTAAAAAATTGTTTTGCTCCTTAACCTTTGTTAAAAACTAAGAGACACACACATCAGCCTAGCCCCACACAGGGTTAGGATCGTCAATATCACTGCTTTCTACCTCCACATCTTGTCTCACTGGAAGGTCTTCAGGGGAAGTAATGTGTATGGAACTGCCATCTCCTATGATAAAAATGCCTTCTTCTGGACACCTCCTGAAGGACCTACCTCAGTTAACTTTTTTTTTTTTTTAAGTGGAAAGAGTATACTCTAAAATGAGGATTGAAAAGTATAGTAAATACATAAATGAGTAACACTCATTTATTGTCCTTATCAAGCATTGTGCACTGTACATAATTGTATGTACCATACCTTTATACAGCTGGCAGCGTAATAAGTTTGTTTACACCAGTGTCACCACAAACACATGAGTAATGCATTGTGCTATGATGTTAGGAAACTGTGCCATCACTCAGCAATAGGAATTTTTCAGCTTTATTATAATCGTATGGGATCGCTGTTATATATGCAGTCCATTGTTGACTAAAACATAGTTATGTGGTGCATGACTTTATGAGAAAGCACATAGAAATGCTCGTGACAGTGCATGAAAATTCAGCCACTGTATCAGTGTGGTAAAGAAGGATGTTTTACCACATTTTTCAAGTTACACACAGAGCTGCTTGCCCACTGCCCTAGTCTGTTTTCTGCTGCCAGACCAGTCTATCACAGCCTGGGTAATTTACACGGAACAAGGGTAATTTATTTGGTTTATGGTTCTGGAGCCTGGAAAGTCCAGGAACATGGCTGTGGCATCTGGCGAGAATCACCCATTGTGGAAGAGTGGAAGGCGAAAGCAAGCCATGAAAGACAAAGAGAAAAAGTGAACTCCTGAGGTAATTAACCTACTCCCAGGCTAACAGCGAGAATCCATTTATGACCTAATCACCTCTTAAAGGTTCTGCTTCCCAGTACTGTTACATTAGCAACGAAGTAATTAAATTTCAACATGAATTTTGGTGGGCGCATTCCTACCATAACACTCAGCTCTTCCAGCTAAGGCTTGCCTTTGGTACCCTGTCCTGTTCCCAAGTCATACTTATGTAGTGGGTAGGTAGGTTTTCATAACTACTCTCCTGCTTGGGGTTTCTAAAGTATGCTTTAGAACCACTTGGAACCATTCTTATAGCTGATTTTGAGCAAGGCCCAACACCGTTCTTTCTGGATTCATCTCCGGGCTTCCATTTAAGAAAACCAAAAAGAAAAGGAAAGAACTTCTGTCTGCACATCATGTAGTAAATCTTTACTTATTAAACTTTTCTACCAAAGTACTCTGTTGTGGGGAAAAATGAATGTTTTCCTTCAAGAATTTGTCCATATAGCCACAGATAACCCAATGCAAGCAAGTACTTGCTTTAAAATTTTGTATTTAATCTTAAAAATTTATGTGGATTTTGCATTGTCTTCTGTCCTTCTCTGTTTTACTTAAATTGAACAAATTGATACAAACAGATACATATTTATTCCCCCAGATCTTTTATTCTTTAGAAACAGAGTCTTGCTATGTTGTCCAGGCTGGCCTTGAACTCCTGTGCTCTAGCAATCCTCCCACCTGAACTTTCCCAGTAGCTGGGGTTAAGGGTATGTGCCACCTTGCCTGGCTTATTCCCCATAGTGTTAAAGTGAAATTGATGCTGTAGGACAGCTGTTTATTCATATCACCACCTGCACAATACTGTGTAATACCACATATGGGAATAAGCACACGAGGAACATGGGATTGGTCCTAATAAAGAGTCCTGCACCATTAAGCTGTGCAGCCCAATACTGCATGGGGTGGTGCAATTCCATTTTGCTGATAAAAGAATAGGGTAGATCATCATCCAAAGAGTTTTGATGTTAGGTGGTTGTACTCTAGCTTTCAAGACAAAGAAACCTCTTTGCTCTGGGAATGCGGGGGAAGGAAGAGGAAAGTTTTAGGATAGAAACCTGGAATGTGGCTCTTAGCTTCCCACCCAGTTTGGGAGGAGAAATTGAAGAAGATGGCCAAATCATTTCCATTATTTCCATCACTGATGTGGTTCACTGTGCTTCTCCATGATGTTTGGTGTCGGGTTCATAACTGCCTCCCTCAGAAAAGGAAGGAGACCGTCTATACTTTATAGTAGATTAGTCATCAACTCACAGGGTTGGAAGTGGATTCATTCTGCTTTCCTAGCTGATGCGAGTCTCCCACTCCCACTCCACACCCCATGTCTCATTGAACTCTCTTGGTGGTGGGTCACTCGCTACTAAAGAGGGTGGCAGATTTTCTTGTTGGCCAACTCTAAACCAGGAATCCTCTTTTTTTTTTTTTTTTTGAGACAGGGTCTCACTTTGTGCAGTGGCACAATCATAGCTTCTGGCAACCTTGAACTCCTGGGCCCAAACTATCCTCCCACCTCAGACTCTCAAGTAGCAGGGACTATAGGCATGAACCACCACACCTGGCTAATTTTTATTTATTTATTTTTTGTAGAGATGGAATCTCACTATGCTGCCCAAGTTGGTCTTAAATGCCTGACCTCAAGCGATACTCCCACTTTGGCCTCCCAAAGAGCAAGGAATTCTTTCTGTAACTTTCATCCACAGATAGCCTTGCCTCTTGATCATCAAAACATAATATAAGGTCTTAGTCTTCCCTAGTTTTACCATCCCCTTTCCTTTCACCCTCCATCTTACGTTGGGGTTACCATGTTTTAACCCTTGCATTCACCCTTCTCAGGGAGTGTTCATTCCAGGTACTCAGTCCAAAGCTGTACCTGTCTGTCAGCAGCCAGGATGGTCTGATATACTTTCTATTTGACAGAAAACAGTTTGGGGTACAAACAAGAGCTGAGTAGCAGCAAGACCTAGGGTGGGAGCAGGATAGGTGGTAGGTGGCGAATTGAAGTGAGCCTTGTGTACTCATGGGCTATGACTTTCTCCCCATCCTCAGTCCTGACACCTGTGAATTCCTCTTCTAGCCAAGCCCTAGAAATCCCCACTCTCCGTGCACCCTCACTTTATTCAACTCTGGCCTCATTCTCCTCATGCCACAAGAAGCTCCCAGTTACTCAACACAGCAAGCCCACACAGCGGCCCATGCTGTGGCCGTAGGTTGTATCCAATTCATGTTTCCTAGTTGGGCTTCTGTTTGAGCACAGACATGTTTCCACGCAGCATTTCTGTGGCATAAGTGCTCCAACCAACTACATTCCTGTGCCTCCCATCTTTTACTTCTGGTAACAATGTTTTTGGTAAGGAAGTGTGTTGTGGAAGTTGATTTTTATTAATTGAAATATTAAATTACTTTATTTCAATAAGAATGTTTAGCTTATTTTTATTCTTACCATTGCTCTAACTAGAGAGTTACATTACTCTTATGGTAAAGATAGAGGAGGGGGAAAACATGAAACAATGGCTATTCTATTTTTTAGATTCTTATTTAAAGTTGAGTTCTCTCAGATATCCATACCTAAAGTCCTATTTACTGAACCCAACCTACTCTGTATAAGATACACTATATTTTGAACTAGAAATTCCATTTGACCCAGCCATCCCATTACTGGATATATACCCAAAGGATTATAAATCATGCTGCTATAAAGATACATGCACACATATGTTTATTGCTGCACTATTCACAATAGCAAAGACTTGAAATCAACCCAAATGTCCATCAATGATAGACTGGATTAAGAAAATGTGGCACATATACACCATGGAATACTATGCAGCCATAAAAAAAGATGAGTTCATGTCCTTTGTAGGGACATGGATGCAGCTGGAAACCATCATTCTCAGCAAACTATCACAAGAACAGAAAACCAAACACTGCATGTTCTCACTCGTAGGTGGGAATTGAGCAATGAGAAGACTTGGACACAGGATGGGGAACATCACACACTGGGGTCTGTCGTGGGGTGGTGGGAGGGGGAAGGAATAGCATTAGGAGATATACCTAATGTAAATGACAAGTTAATGGGTGCAGCACACCAGCATGGCACATGTATACATATGTAACAAACCTGCACGTTGTGCATATGTAACCCTAGAACTTAAAGTATTTTTTTTTTTTAAAAAAAAAGATAAACTATTTTTCTAGGGGCAGTCTTGGAGGAAGAAGGGAAATATCTATGGTAGACATAGTACTGGTTGGTTCTATTCATATACCTAGTCTTCAACTTTTATTTTTTTATTTTTATTTTTTTTGAGACAGAGTCTCACTGTCACCCAGGCTGGAGTCATAGCTCACTGCAGCCTCAACCTCCTGGGCTCAAGCGATCCTCCTGCCTCAGCCTTCCAGAGTGCTGGGATTACAAGTGTGAGCTACTGTACCCAGTCAGCTTTTATCTTTTTTAGTTATTAAAAAAAAAATTAGTAGTAGAACAGCAGTCCTGTTGAGGAATAGAATCTTTGACTCTTTGACCTTGGTGTTACGGATAAATACACTAAACCAGAGCTTTCCTCAGTTTTTTGAAGATAAGACTCAGGGGAACAAAAATTGCAGAACAGTGATTCCAAGTGGTGTTCTTTTAATACACATGATGATAAAGCACATTTTATTAATTTATTCAGTGATCTGTGTTAAAGAGGCTGAAATAATATTAGCATAAATATCAAGGCAGCAAGTTTGGCAAAATAATTTGCTGAATATTGAAAGCTCTTTTCAAAGAGTATCTTTTTTGTCATATCC